AGAGATTGGACTCGATCTCACCGAGCTGGGGGGAGCGAGGGGAGAGAAACCCCAGAGTGGGTCAGTAAGATGAAGTCGCAGAGTGCGGTGCCGTGATGCAAAGTTGATGGATCGACATGCCAACCGCGGCATGGGCATGGCTCGATCATCGACGATCATCGACGAGCAGTGCGGGCAGGATGGATAGGACAGCGTGCGATGCTCACCTCGACGCGGAAGCCGCGGATCTTGACCTGGCAGTCGATGCGGCCAAAGTACTCGATGTTGCCCTCGGGAGTGTATCTGTGGACCAGAGCACACATCATGGCATGTCGATGAGACACGGAGCTCATAGCGATGTGTCGGTCATGGCCAAGGCGTACCGCCCTCGACAGGGCCAAGTGGGACAGGCACATTTGCTGGAGCAATGATGGTGCACACGATCGAGACCGACAGCATACCTGACGAGATCGCCGGTCTTGTACATGCGTCCGCTGGGATCGAAGGGGTTGTGGATGAACTTTTCGGCAGTGAGGTCGTCTCTGTATGGGGAGAGAATGCAGCGTCAGCGCCACGGAAGCAGCAGCGAGCCGAGGGGCAGAATCGAGAGCAGTTCGTGGGGCGAGTAGTCGGACGCACCTGTTGATGTAGCCCTCGGCGACACTCTTGCCTCCGATGACGAGCTCGCCCATGGCGCCGATGGGAACCAGGCGGTTCTTGGAGTCGACGACGTACGACGTGTAGTTGATGAAGGGCCGGCCGATGGTCATCTTCTCAACAGGCTCGGAGATGTCGAGGTAGGTGGAGCTGCAGGTGGTCTCGGTGGGGCCGTCTGGGGCAGCGCAAGTGGGATGAGTGTGGTGAGTGTGTGATGAGTGTGTGATGAGTATGTGATGAATGTGTGGAAGATCGAGCATCGTCTGTCTCACCGGAACTCTGGTTGCCCCCAGGTTCACCGCACCATTCCACACACCACTCCACACAACAACAGCACTTACAGGTGTTGAAGATCTTGCGGCCCCTCATTCGGTAGCGCTGCACAATATTTTCTTGGGCAGCCTCGCCGCCCAGCACAATCATCTTGACCGAGGGCATCTCGCCGACGAGGATGCCGAGTTGGCTCGGGACGCAGCAGAACACGGTGACGCTGTACTTTTGGATGTGCTTGGGCAGATCGGGGCCGGCGTAGATCATGTCCTTGGTCGGGATGACCAGCGAGGCGCCTGTCGAGTACGCCATCCAGATCTCCTCGATCGAAAAGTCAAAGCTGTGGGAAAAGTTCTGGAAGACACGATCGCCGGGCGACAGCTGGAAGAGATCGCGCTCGACCACCACCAGGTTGGCGATGGCGCCCTGGCTGATGAGCACGCCCTTGGGCTTGCCCGTCGTTCCACTGGTGTAGATGATGTAGGCACCATCGGAGGGCTTGCGGTCGACAGGGAGGTCGTCGATGGTGATGGAGATGCTCTGTGAGCCAGAGGAGATGAAGAGATCGCGGGCGGCAGAGTACAGAACCGGCACGGTCAGGAGGATGGTGCTGCCGGAGACGCCGAGCTTGTCGAGTTCGGCCGAGACCTTGTCGCAGAGGGCGTCGTCGACGATGACAGAGACCTTGGAGGCCGAGTCCATGATGATGTAGGCGGCACGCTCGGGCGGGGTCTTTTCGTTGTCGATGGGGACATAGGCAGCGCCGGCGAGGATCACACCGAGCATGATGGCAAAGCCCTCGATGGACTTTGGGAACATCAGGGCGACGCGGTCGTTGGCCTGAACGCCGCACTTTTCGATGAGATGCTGGGCGATCAGCTTGGACAGATGGAAGAGCTTCTCGTAGGTGATGGACTTTGTCTCGTGGATCAGGGCCAGCATGCGCGGGTGCTTCTGGACGGTGCGGACAAAGATGTTGGCCAGATACTGGTCGCTCTTGCGAGGCGGCTGAGGAGAGAGGTTGTTGGCGTTGCTGAGAACGAGCAGACGCTGGTAGTCCTCGGGGTGGATGACGTTGAAGCTGTCGAGGGGCATCTTGCGGAAGTTGGGGTGCTGTGCCAGCGACTCGAGGAAGGCCGTGACGGAGCCCTCGATGTTGACCAGCGCCATCTCGGCGGGGGAGAGGCCGGCAAAGCCAGCCATTTGACAGTCGAGACCAATCATCTCCTCGACAAAGTCGGAGGAACCTGGAAGGAACAGAGGATGATAGTGCAGCCGGTCAGTCGATGAAGGAGATGCAGATTCGACATGAGGCGACAGACAAGGGCGACGAGTGCGTCAGGAATGCATTTGTGGCGTTGTACAGCCCGGAGGATGTGTGGGACGGATAGTCGTGGTAGGCGGTGGTAACGGGGGGCAAGCAGTGGCGTGGGACTGATGGTAGATAGTGGGAAGGCACCAGCGACAAGCCTGTTATAAATACGGCCACATACCTGATCCAAAGTCTCCAGAGGAGAAGGTGAGCGACACAAACCTGGACTGGAAGTCGCCAGTCTCAGACCAGGCGACGGTGATCTTGCAGCTTTCATTCTCGTCCAAGGGATGGCTGGTGAACAGGGCGCCGAGAATCATGCGGTGGATGTGGCTGAAGGACTGAGTGACATTGACGGTGCACTTGGAGCCAACGGGCGCGCTCGCGAGGCGGCTGTCGATTCTGAAGTGCAGGTCGTAGTTCTCGATGGAGTCGGAGTACCGGGCCAGGACGGCGACAAAGCCGACGGTGATGAAGGCAGCATAGTCGTGGCGCTTGAGGTCCTCGGTGACGGCCGAGACGGCCTCGAGGGTCTTTTTTGAGAGCATTCTCTCTAGTGGGGGAAGGGTGGAGCAAGGGTCGACGGGGACAGAGCCGTGGGAACGTCGATGGGGGTGTAAAGAAGCGAGGGGATGCCGGAAGCCAGAGCGTGGACGGGAAAATGGCAATGCTGCTGGAGACTGGCAGCTTCGGCGAGGGACGGGATGACATGGTGGTCTTCGGGGAGGGGGGGGACCGATTTATAGCTCGAGGAGGAGGCCGTTGGTGGGCAGGAGCGAGGGCGGTCGGAGGGACAACCAAAGGCCAAGAGCCCACAAGGGTCTAACGAGCCCAGGCGGGGGGAGGCAGGTGCGCGGCTGGCTGAGCGGAGCGCCGCCCGGGTCGGACATGGCGAGATTGCGTGGCGCACGGTGGCCGTTCGGGGTGTCAAAGCCGACGGTACACAGAATGATCCGAAGGAAGCGGTGGCGGGCGAGCGGCAACGAAGGGACCCGGGCGGGGTGAGGTGTTTTATTCTGTTTGTAAGTAGTGCTGTCGCTGTTGTTGACGGTGGTGTTTTGTTTGTCGATGACGCTATTGCTGTCGTTGAAGAACTGGGTTGAGTTGCTTTGTTCTTGTGCACTATTATGCGAATATCCTGTAAATGGCTGTGTCCGCTGTGCTCGCGAGTCGGTGGCGGCGGCGTTGCAGCGGCGGGTCCCTGGCAATGTCTGTCTGGCAAAGGAACAGAATCGAACGGCGCACAGCCGCTCACGGTCTAGCGTGCTCGACAGGGGATCGCTACCGTTTGTGCCAATCCAGCAAGATTTGGCCGAGCGGACTGGACGGGTGGGCTGGACAACTGGGGGTCATTGGCGTCTTGGGCTTGGGACGACATCGTCCTCACTTGCCCTTGCGGCCCATGCAGCCCATGTTGCTCGTGTTGCTCGTGTTGCTCGTGTTGCTCGTGTTGTTCTCCACGAAGCTTGCCGCACGCCAGGGCCCGCTGTCGAGTCCCCCGACCCGGACTCGCTGTCGGCCAGTGACATCCGGCCGATCGCACCGCCGGTGTGACTGTGCGGCGGAACAAAACCTTGGGGCGCTGTCTCGCCTCTTAACACTGTCCACCGCCAGGGAGGTCGCGCCAACCTCACACACGGCAGAGATGGTGGATGGAAGTGGAGGGAAGGACCAGTAACGATTGGGCGATGCATGCGGGACAGTGCAGGAACACAAATGCGGGGGCAATGCAGGAACACAATTGCAGAAAGACTCACTTCAGAAAGACGATGCGGAGACACACATGCGGAGACACCAATGCGGGAAGAGACACATTCGGGGATACATGCAGGAAGACGCAAGAGAAAGGGGTTTATTTGTTTCCCTTTGGTCGGAGCATCAGCCCGCTGGTCGGGAGCAAGGCAAGAGACAAGATACATGGGCTGCACGGATGGGCCGGCGCGCGCGGGGCCCAGGTCGTTGCATCGTGGTTGGAGGCGCCGGATGGCTCTGGTCTGCAGCGCTCGATGCCCGTTTCCAAACCATGCCCGTTTCCAAACCATACCACCGAGGAAATGAAAGGCTGTTTGAGCCACGCGCTCCTCCCTGGCGATGCGCAAGTCGAGCAGTCGTAACTCGTCTCAGGATATCCACTGGTCGATGGCGATCTCCGCGCCTCTCCACCACCTGAGCACCTTCGGTTCACGAATGCAACCGCCGTTGCGCAGGCGACGGCGGGAATATTGCCTGAATATGGGGGCCCTTACTTGGGGAGCGCCGCGTGCATTCAGCGGGGTGAGGGGGGGCTCAAGACCAGGGCATTGCGTTGACTATCGACAGCCAGTGTCAGCTTGCATCAACCAGTGTCAGCTTGCATCAACCAATGTCAGCCAGGTGCCGATGAGAAGTCCGTTGACTATCCCCGGCCCGCAAGTGAATCGCGCCGCTCCCAAACTAACATCGCCCGCCTTTCGAGCAGCGGATCGATAATCCGATCGTCTTTGGATATTGGATCCAAGCGGATGCAGCGCCGCCGCAACAAGCCCGCTCCTGCATCCGGGATGCCGACCACGAGCACGAACGCATCGGGTGCATGTGTGCTTCGACAGCAAGGCGTCGTAGAACAGGCCGCTGGCTGTGCGGACAGCAAGGGCCGGGACCCCAGTCGCGCGTCGGAGTGCACATCCAAGCAAACCAATGGGCGTGCGCGCGTGTCCGCCAAGCGTCGGGCCCAGCCGCGCCCCGCCGTCCGCCACCCCCCACAGCGGCCCATCCGGCCCATGCCTGAAAAAAGCACCATCGGCAACAAGCATCATTTGAAACAAGTATCACGTTGTCGTCGATACGAATGCTCCACTCTTCCTTGACGAGCCTCATCGTAAACGCCTTTCCCTCATCCAACCCCCCCCCTTATTCCTTCACTTCAAACCTCCCTCGCATGCCCCTGTCTGGATCTGTCCAGCGGCAGAGGCGGTGTGGAGAGGTGTCCCTGCTGGCCGCCATTCGGGGTTTCGGACGCGAAGGCTATCCACCCCCTCCGTCGTCGTCGTTTCGCCCGTTGCTCCAGTTGGCCTTCCTTTGGCATGGCTGGTCTCGCAACCGGCAGTTGGCTGGCCCGCAAACCCTGCTGCACGGCTCCATCGTCTGTCCGCTCCGTTTCGCCGCTCTGACAGCCTCACCCGGCGATTTCCTCGCCACTCCGTCTGCATCCAGCCGAGTCGATTCCGCTGGATGAGGTCCGCGTTGTGGACGATGTCCAACTGGGCCCAAAAGGCAGCGGCGACCAAATGCCTCGGTGGCATGGGAATGTGTTCCTTCACACGCAGAACGACTCAACGACCAATTCCCGTCTGGATCCTGTACGCACACATGTTCCATACGTCCATTCGTCCAGTGTGTCCAAGAGTATTACCATCCAAAACTGCCAAGAGTACTGCTCTTCCGCCCATTTTTAAGAACATAGGCTCCCCTCCCAACGATCTTGTGAGCAAAGAGCAACCCCAGCGAGCCCTCCTCGGCGACCCGCATCATGGCCGTCGAATCAGGTCCACAATAGCATATTCCCACCCAATCGGCTGGGGCCACTACGTCACCAGTGTCTTTGCAGGCGCTTGAACAACGACGACGTATCCCCTGCCACCAGTCATTGTGGTCGAATGTGTTTCAGATGAGTGCATTTCAGCAATCGGGCGACTCGCTCCCCGTTTCATTTTGCGAGCCCCCGAGACTGGCCATTTTGTTGCCGGTGCTCGAGTCAGTTCGGTTACTCATCTGAAGAAGCCTGGGGTCTGGATTGTCTCTTCAAATCAACCCTGTTGCCTTTGCGAGCCATCGAGCCCAGCGATCCAGAATGGGCATCCCTTCTCCTCAAGCCCAGTGGGCATTTTCTCTGGGAATCTGCTTTTTGGTTCTTGGCCTCGGCTTGAACGCAGCCATACAAGTGTTTACCTTTGGTCTCCATCGTCGCCGCATCTACAGGGTGGTATTGCTCGATGTCACCGTCTTGACAATGTCGAGCATCCTGGTGATTGTGACGATTTCGGGCCTGTTGAGCAACCAAGACATGGTCCAGTTCGAGTATATGATAGTTACATATCTGGGCCTTGAAACACTTTCCCTCTTCCTTGGAATCGTCGGTGCGTTCTTTGATGACTTGTGCTGCCGTAGAGCGATCTGAGCGGCAAGCATGGAGGACCATTGACAACCCCTGCGCAATCCAGCGTCGACAGAGCCCACACACTTTGAGGGACCGGGTGCCCCTGGAGTGGCCAAGAGATTGTTGCCAGCGTTTCTGATGTCTTTCATGCCTTCAATGCGGCACCTGTCTCGAACCACATCCAGAGTCGACAAATCGGTAGGCATCGGAGCTGTCTTTCGATCAGCTTCTCTCTCTTTCAGTTTGTCCCTTTGTCCAGTTGGTCCCTTCGTCTGGCTTGTCTCTGCCGCGAGTACGTAGCCGTCGTCGCCTATCTCTATTCTGAAACCCAACTAACGGGCCATGGACATTTGCAGGTTTTGCTCCCTCATCGAGAGCAGTTCCCACCGCAAGATCATCAAGGCCGTCGTCTGGCTCGTTTTTGCCCTGGGGCTGCTCTTCATTCTGGTTTCGGGCTTTGTTGGCATCCTGATCATCAATCCAGGATTTTTTGCCTTTGCTGAAACGCCATACTACCAGAGCATCTTGAATCCCTTCATGTCGCTATACTGTAAGAACTTCCAAGCGAGAGCGCTGCAGATTCACAACTTCCGAGGCTGTCCTGTACCTCTACGTCACAGTCACAGTGATGTTATCTTATCAAATATTTGCTGCTCTATCCACAGACAATTCCTACATCACGGCAGCCTCGTTCATGGATCTTCATTTCCTGTCAAAATTTACCAAGAGCACCCACGTTCGCCTGAACAACCTTCCAGAGGGCAAGGAGCGTTCTATTGTGTCCAACCACATTGTCTTTGTGGTCGTGTGCTTGATAACGAGCATCGTTGCCTTTTGCATCAACATTGTCGCCGCCATCACCAACACCTTCACTTTCAGCAACCACCTCAACTCGCTAACCCATGCTTACCGTCTGGGCGTCTTTGTCGACTTTGGCATCCACATCTATGAGCTGTTGGCGAGCGAATGCATCATCAACGCCAACGTCCAAGAGCTGGAGCAGAAGGGTGTGTTTGGCTCGAGGGACCAGATCCAAGGCCCGGCGAGGATCATCAAGACCAAGACCAACCCAGACCTCCCACAGGCAGTTCGTAATAACAGCATCCTCAGTCTGGAGCCAGTATCGGTGGGATCGTCTCAGCTTCTGGTTCCAAGCAGTCCCACAAGATAATTAACGGGTCAAAATACAAAGATATCGCAATCAAACGAGCGCGGGTTGAAATCCAAAAGGAGCGAGAGGTGATGGGTGAATGAAAGAGGTGCTGAATATCAGATTGGGTGGAGGGTCGCTCCTTCTGATGCTGCGATGGATACGACTCTCAAAGAGGACATGACTCTCAATGACGATATGGCTCCCAGCGACGACATGCGATGCCGTACCGATCCGCTTGGGAGACAGAAATGCGGGCCCAAAATCAACCGAGCCGGAAAAAAAAAAGGCGACAAATCACCGGACTCGCTTGGGCCGCGTCGCTGTGCTTGGTTGTTTCCTTGGATGCCATGGCCACCGGGGCGTTGGATCATTCCGTCGTGGGAGTTGAGAGCCAAGCGCGCCAAAGCATGACTCATTGGGTGAAACTGTGGCGTTGCAGTGCTGATTCCTCGCTGCTCAGCCTTTCCTTGCTCGCCAGCGCAGCCGTTCTTGGCGGTGGAGGCATTCCTTGTGGGGCCCTGGCCACAGCCGCGCTTTCGGCCCAATAAATTAGGCACCTCGCCGCTCCAGCGTCGCTCACCCTCACCCCCGGTCTCAGGCCCTCCGCTCATCTTGCCGCCCGCTTCGGTTTCATCTCAATCTTCTCCATCTCCGTCGCCATGCTCGTCACCAAGCTTGCTGCCCTCATCCTCTTTGCCGGTGCCTGCGTCTCGGGTGCTGTCGTCACTCCCGGTCACTCTCAGGGTCACCACTCTCGCCCAGCCAAGGTGTCCTCCCATGCCTTCATCCACCACTCTCGCCCAACCAAGGTGTCCTCCCAGGCCTTCATCCACCACTCTCGCCCAACCATCCATCCTTCTTGCCCTCATTCGGGCCCCAGACCCTCTGGTAGACCGTATAGTAAGCGCGATGTCACCACCGAGCACCGCTCTCGTTCTGAGCACCCTTCCCACTCGGCCCATCCCACCAACTAAGTAGTGAGTTCGATGGACTAGCCAGCAATATGTCGAATCATATCGCCACCGTTATCCTTACTCTGCCATTCCGTTGGGTCATGGTCCAGCCCGAATTCCCACGGCATTCCTTCTTTAACACAAGTTGTCTGATGGCTCTTCATATTATCGTCGAAATCTCTCTGCGTCTTGAATCGTCGTCTTCCCCACTCTTTGTATCCGTTTCTAAATTATAGTGAGACGTATGGCCCTTCCAAAGGAAGCTGGCAATCTGAATTACTTCAGAATATATCGTCATACACTTGACCCATTTCCAAAGGAAACACCTAACTCATCTCCAATTGTTCAGCTTTTTTTTTTTGTTTTGATAGTTGTATATTCAGGAATATTCAACATGCCATCAGTATCGCAGGATACCCGGCAGTGGGTGACCAAGCTCGCTCATACACCCCTGTTGCGGCCTTCGCCGACTCTCCAGCCCACACGGCGAGCCATGCGGGTGAACACTTCTTCTAATAACTCCCAGAGGGAGTCGCATGTCTCCAAGTCCCGCTCAGGGATGTCGGGGGCTGGTTTCTCCAAGTCCCTCTCTAGTATCATCTCGAACCCACTCCAGGGTTTGCTGTGCGGTGTTGGGTCTTGACTTGCCCTCAAGGGAGTGTGGGTTTGTCTGTGGGAAGGGTACTCGGGATTTATCTCGTATCCTGGGGTCTGACCTAGTCCCAAGTCATCGTCGGACTCTGGGATCGGGTCAGTACTTCGTCCTTGGGAGGGCGTGGGAACCACTCTCGGTTCAGGGCCGGGGGCTGGATGTCTATTCGTCTCCCTGGCCCGGTTTCGGTCTCGGTTCGGGAGGGAGTCTTGGTTGCCATCAGGGGAGTACTCTGAGCCAGACTCGGTGTCTGCCTCTGAGGTTCCTCCCCAGTTCGACCCCGAGGCAAGGTCTGAGCTCGGTTCGGGGTGGTGGGGCACTAAGTCCACACTATGGTCGGAGTGAGGTACTAAGTCCCCACCAAGGTCAGAGTGAGGCACTAGGTCCCCACTATGATCGGAGTGGGATACTAAGTCCAAACTCTGGTCAGTGTCCCAGCAGTAGTGTCCTCCACTATCGAGAGACAGTTCGTCAAGCTCGTCCCAGATTGGTCTCGGCGTTGGGTCGGTTCTTACCAAGAAGTCAAAGTCAATGTCGTAGTCTGACACTGAGCTGACTTCCGAGCCAAGGTCCGAGTCCACTTCAGGACCAGTCAGTCGGAGCCTCCCCATCCGAGCAATCACTCCCGGTAGGGAGCTCCAGAGCCGATCTCGATCATCAAAGTCGTCGTCTACATCAGCATCACTGATGCCAGTGTCATCATCTGTATCCGAGACTATTGATGCGATCAAAAGCCCCGGTCTCTCCCCTCGCTTCCCCACCGAGTGATTATTATTGTTATTGCCATGTCTCTCTCTCCCTGGTGTTTGGGTTCCCACACCAGTGTGCTGCTGTTGCTCTTCTCTATCCTTCTTGGCTTCAAACTCCAGCAAGTCAAGCAGCATGTCTATAGGCCCCACTCCTTCGACTGTGGGTTTGACCCAGCTTGGGTGGGTCCGTGCGAGTTCGTTGACCTTTCTTGCCAGGATGCCTTTGGGGTCGACGCATCTTTGAGCGTGGGAACGGTTAAGGTCTACTTTGATTCCGTTCTTGGAGCACCATCGGCAGGGTCTGCTTCCTCCCTTGGTGTGTCCTGGGAATATCCCAAGTCGCCATCGAATCATTAGCTCGAGGATAGGCTGACTACCTGTGTATCCCTCGGCTCTCCACAGTGCCGACATCGAGGTTGTCGGTGTGCATGCGGCTGTGAGTTGTTGGTCTCGTTTGAACGCTGTCCTCATGTGTTCTGTGAGGATGGCTTCTCGCAGAGGGATCGCCAAGTCGTCCTGTAGGAGATGGTATCTCCGACGCTGTGCTGCGCGTACTGCGCGTACTGCGCGGCGCAGTGGGTCGTGACCTGTGCTGCGCTTTGCGTTTTCACGCACCGCAGGCAGGTGTGAGGAGTGAACAAGCGCAAGGACGAAGACCAAGTGCTTGGTATGAGCTTTATTAGCTTTTAGCCCCGAACACCAAAGAACAAGTTTTGTTCGAACTGGTGTTCAACATAGGCTCAGACATGCAGGGCTATTTATAGACCGGGAGAAGGTCGAGGGGCAAAAGTGGGCGAGAAGGGTGGAGCATCACAGAGAAGCGAGAAGGGGGTGCGAGAGTGGCTGGTGTGCAAGCGAGAGAGGCTTGGCACAGCCCGGGGACATGTGCCGAGCGGTGGGGGAGGCAGGAAACCAGTAGACGCGGGTGGCAACGGCGCGTGCTCATGCATGGGGGCAAACAAACACGTGGGGACTCATGATTGGTGCGGAGGGCGAGAGCATGCGGGACAATCTCATTGGTCCGTTGTGATGCTGGTCATCACACTATCTCCTCCTCAAACTACGGCGTGTTCCATCTTGAGTTCTCCTGGGGCCAGGCTTGTCTGGGTAGCGTCGGTGGTACTCCGCGGCCACCGTTGGGGCAAAGACAATGTCGGCGGGCTCCCAACTTCGATCGGTGACCGGGTAGCCTTTCCAATCGATGAGATAGTGCAGCTTTCCGCGCACGAACTTGGAGTCTAAGATCTCTTCGACCTCCCACTCCAAGTTCCCATCGATGACCACCGCAGGGGGCGGCGCTTGCACCCGACCCGGAAGCGAGTTCTTCTTGTAGGGCTCAAGAAGAGACACATGGAACACCGGGTGCACCTTTATGTCCTTTGGCAAGTCCAGGCGGAAAGCCAATGTCCCGACGGCCTCGAGGATGGTGAATGGTCCAATCCTCTGGTAATCCAGCTTCTTGCTTGGGCGAGTGGTGCTGATGTTACGAGTCAGCACCCAGACTTGATCGCCCGGACGCAAGTCGGGAGCCTGGGACCTCCGGAGATCTGAGAAGTGCTTGTAGTCAGACTTTGCCTTCTCAAGATTCTCCTTCAACAGTGCCAGGTTCCGCTGGAGATGTTCAACCCTCTCCGTGGCAGAGGGAACATCAGGGCCGCCAGCGATAACGGGGACTTCGAACCTTGGGTGGAACCCATAGGTTGCCAAGAATGGCGAGGCATGTGTTGACGAGTTCTCGAGGTTATTGTAAGAGAACTCGGCCAACGGCAGCAGCTCGGCCCAGTCATCTTGCTGATACGACGTGTAACAGCGCAGGTATTGGTTGATGACCTGGTTGACCCTCTCAGTCTGTCCATCGGTCTGGGGATGGAAGGCCGTGGACAGACTGGTTTGGATCCCGAGCTGCGTGCAGAGTGCCTTCCAGAACCGAGAGGTGAACTGACTTCCTCGGTCTGAAACCACTGTGTCGGGGAGGCCATGGAGACGAAAGACATTGTCGAGGAACAGTGACGCAGTCTCCTCCGCCGACGGCAGTGAACGCCAGGACATAAAGTGTGCCATCTTTGTGAGGCTGCATACCACCACAAAGATGCAGGTGTGACCCTTGGACTTTGGCAGATCAGTGATAAAGTCCATGGTCAGTGTCCCCCAGGGTCGATCGGCTGTCTGGAGTGGCAACAGGAACCCAAACGGCTTGTGTCGCGGAGCTTTCGAGCGTGCACAGGTGTCGCACGTCGAGACGTACTCTTTGACATCTTTCCGATAGGTTTGCCACCAAAACTGTCGCGATACCAGAGCCAGAGTCCGTCGGATGCCTGGATGACCCACAGCGACTGGGTCATGGCACGACTTGAGCGCCGGAACTCGGCACGACTCTGGGACCACAATCCTGTTCTGGAAGGTGAGGTACTGGCCATTCCAGACGAACTTCGGGTCACGACGGTATTTGTCTAGACCGGGATCCCGAGCCTGCTCTTCGGCTATGAGCTGCAGCAAATCCACAGGGTCACTGCGACTTGCAACCGAAGAGCGGGCGTCTCTGCTTCGGAGCACGCGTATCACCGCGGCAGGATCGAGAAGCAGAGGCGGATCCCTCGACACGGAGGCCGACGAAGGGATGTAGTCCGAGCGACGAGACAGGGCATCGGCCTTGCCGTTCCTCGCACCAGGACGGTACTGGATGCGGATGTCG